AAGGTGGGTGTTGGCATTCACGTTGTGATTTTTAAGGACCCGCCACTACATATTATACTATTAATAATAAGCTGCAAGTTTGTAGACGTAATAAAACAATAATTAACTATGAGTCAGTGATTGCTCTTCAGTAACAGAAAAGATAAAGAGCTAAAATATTATAATTATTTAACTCAATAATCGATTGATAAGTAGTAGGTATACTTTTGTGCCTGAAATATATTATAATTCACTCTTTCACTGAATTTCTAATTACCTACTAAAAGTATAAAGCTACTTAGAATAACAAAAGTTAACTTCTATAAACAATGATAAACGTCTTGCAAACTTTTTAAACTGTAAGTTACGCAAATCAGAAAAACTTCTATTATCCGGAAAAAGCCGTAAAAGTGACCCTCATTAGCCGTATTGTTNTTTTGTGCCTGAAATATATTATAATTCACTCTTTCACTGAATTTCTAATTACCTACTAAAAGTATAAAGCTACTTAGAATAACAAAAGTTAACTTCTATAAACAATGATAAACGTCTTGCAAACTTTTTAAACTGTAAGTTACGCAAATCAGAAAAACTTCTATTATCCGGAAAAAGCCGTAAAAGTGACCCTCATTAGCCGTATTGTTGTGCTTTTACGGTACCCTCCGCTCTCGGCTCTAGCCAGCATAAATAAATCAAATTTAATTAACTCAGATTAATTTTCGCGGCGCCCGTCTCAACCGTCGGGCGTCCCTTTTTATTTGACTTGAGGCAAAACTCTACTCGGTCGTAAACTCTACCCACCCGCCCGTTCCGATTTCCTATGGATTCCTTAATAAAAAGTTTACTGTAAAGCAAATTTTGTATAACGACCAATGCTCGACATCTTCAAGCCATATAAATTCGTTAAATTAGATTTATTACTTTTATCTTTCAACTTATCAGTTAGATGATCTGGCTTCAAGGGTCAGGGATTAATTTGTCCGCTAAATTAATTTGAAGACATTGAAATAACATTGCCCGAGAAGCACTAAAGTGGTCGTTATTAATTTATTATAATACTTATATAATTATAATACTATAAAATGTTTAGTTGACGATTTTTATTATGTTAAACTGTTTACAGTTAGATTGCGAAACTTCTAAATTATATTTTCAGTTGGAATAATCTAAACGATCACGTTTTCTTCCTGGCAAGTACAATATTCGTTAGCTGGCTTTTTTAGCACGGTACATATGTATCTACATATGAATGTATCTATGTATGTAACTATACCGAGACCTTAGAACTGATATCTCGAGGTGGGTGGCGCATTTACGTTGTAGATGTCTATGGGCTCCAGTAACCACTTAACACCAGGTGGGCTGTGAGCTCGTCCACCCAACTAAGCAATAAAAAAAATGTTACGGAATCTTTGATCGTGATTTTCACCAACTTTAAAGCGTCGTATGGAATTGAAACTTCACACAATTATCAAGGACGACGTAATACAATCACTGTAATACAAATCCTGGTGGTAGGACCTCTTGTAAGTCCGCACGGGTAGGTACCACCATTTTTTGTTTATTGCTTAGATGGGTGGACGAGCTCACAGCCCACCTGGTGTTAAGTGGTTACCGGAGCCCACAGACATCTACAACGGAAATGCGCCACGCACCTTGAGATATGAGTTCTAAGGTCATATGATAGCCATTTCTCAAAACTCCGGTAGTAACTCAATTAACTGCAATTGCATTAGATAAAATTATTAGATTACGAAATAAATCTCAGAACGACCTAATAATCTGTTTTCACTTATGACACACCAAATGTCTTCCTACTATGAAATTATCATCGTTAAAGACAAAAAAAAAAAATCAATAATGATTTAAAATACTTACTTACATAATAAAGCGGGAGGTGCTTCTAGAGATATTTCATAATGACTTTACTTTTACCAATATCTGTCAATATAATGTTTACAATTATTGACATCTAGGACACCACGTATATTTTACGATGAATGAAATATTTTTTTCTTAAACAATCAATTTTTTTTTTAACTTCTAGAAAACATTTGTGATCGTGTTGTCTAAAATGTTATCTTAAAATTTAAAACATTACAATTAGTCGCTAGTAAACGTAAGCTTCTAGGTCAAATTTGCGCAGTCCGGCATTTTTATAAGTACGCATGCAAACAATCTTTAAACCAACCAGTGGTCTTCGGATGGTACGCGGTGCGGGTGGCGCGCACTCAAGTGGTCAGCACACACTTCACTTCCAACACCAGTAGCCCACAAACATATCCCGACTCACTTTCGACATCCCAAAATCTATTGAGAGCACTCACACAATCTTGTCCTTGAATTTAGTAAATCTTAAACAATCCTTTCCAAACTTCACAGGCATGATTTCTTAAGGTATTATCATGGACTTGCATTTAAAAATGCTATAACAATAACTCTTTAATAAACATCTAACTCTTTGATATCATCATCTCGTTTTTACCATCGCACCGCCCGCCACCGGAGTAGAGTTCATCCATACTACCTGGAGCCACTGCGGTCATCCACAGTGCGTTTCCAGAGTTATTTTTTGCAACGTACCATCCGGCTTCGAAATGAGCTCCCTTCCACGGTGTTTCCCGAGCGCTATGACATGTCCTTCTTCAAACGAGGCTTGTGGAGAGTATTTAGCGGTAGGCAGCGGCTTGACTTTTTGCTGAAGTCCATGAGCGACGGTAACCACTCACTATCAGGTAGGTCGTATGCTCGTTTGCCCCACAAAGACAATAAAAAAATGTTTTTACTACAATAAATTATATAAAATTGTAAATGTTCGCACATTTTTTTATTTCATTTTTTTTACAAATTATTGTATGTTCATCTAATTGTTATCGTTACTCAAACATGCAGATGTGACTAAACGGATTTGAATTAAATTTCATTAATCCTTTATTACTGACCTAACAAATGATATTTTAATCATGGTAAATGTATGGACTCATGCAACGCCGGGTAAATCTGCCATATTCAATCAGGCAGCGTGTTCGCTGTTTCGCAAGTTCACAGACAAACAGACTGGTAGTTTTAAAGTCACAGAGTCACCACAACACTCCACAAGCAAGCAATTTTTTATCCCGGAAATTAGAACAAACATATCTTATTCTTTTGAAATTACAAATTTACCCCGACTGAAACCGCGGGCGACGTCTGATATGAAATCATCTTTTAATTTATCTCAATCGACAAAATTAGTCTTGTTTAAACACAAATTTTTGTTGCAAAATGTGAGCGTGTGGTCGTCTGCAAATACATATCTATAAAAAAAATTAAAAAGTCCGTAATAAATACGCTTCTTACGACTTTAATAGGTCAATATCTCAATTCTATTAGACTCGTAGTAGTGTAGTAGTTGACTGTACAACAGACCGGAACGCGTGACTGTTTCGCTGCACAAATTGGCAAATCAGTTGTACCCATCCTTTCACACAGTATAAATAAATCCTAGTAATGAAAGCAGCTAGATGAGAGCAGCGCGTGCTCTATATTTTTCACTGTTAAATTATAATTAATCTAATATTTATCTGAAATTATTCATGTTTAATAAAAGAACCACATTCTTTTTCTTTATTTTTTTTCTGTCTAAGTAAACACAAGCCAATCAACACACGCGTGGCCCCGGTCGGCCACCCACATGGGTTACAAAAAATGTCGCGTCAGCAATGTTTACCTATTGAACAGCAACGACTTCTAAACGTTACGCCCTATTAATCTCAATATTTTAATGGGACGGAAACAGATACGATTTTCAAGAGGTAAACGTAACTGTTTGAAAAATATAGTTCGTACTTGACGTTGCTAATGATCATACTACATATAAGATACACAGCCCTCATTATGTGATGTTTACAGAATTCGAAGCTATTCATAATAAATGCATGATGTATTTTTTATATCCTTACCAAAACCGGGAGAGCTCGATAACAAAATTCGTATGTAGAAATTTTTGTGATATCACAATTTAGAAGATTCATTTTAGACAAACATAATCAAAGCGAAACCTACTCTGATATTAGGTAAACGCACATTTTCGAATATCCTATTATAATATAAAATATTTTACTTCAATCAATACGTTTTGTAATATGATAGCCTGTATGTATGAATGTAAGCCTGAATGTAAAAAATAATAACAAAGAGGCGTAACAAACAAATACTCCTTCGTAATTTTATTTAACGGCAACCTACCTTACCTAACAATTTCATATTTTTTCACATCAGTCAAGAAGCCCTACACAACAATAAATGAAAATTCAGTTTCCGAAGGCATTACCAATAAGTGGATTTCCTCTTTATCTTTGATTCTTTTGAAATAATACTTTGAATGAACAATTTTCGTTGCGATAAGACGAAAACCAAATACACGTGATAAGGTTTCAATCAATTTTATTATAAATATGATAACATCATGTTTTTTTTTTGTATAGGTACCCGAAACAAAAAAATTAATACATATTTTGAAATCATAAGTTAAAATCATCATCATATAATTGATATCATGTTTTATATATTTTGTTCCAAAAATCTATCATGAAGTAGATAGAGAAGATAGATCCGATCATTCGTATAGCTTTTTTTAAATTTGAGATAAACAAGATGACAAGTAAGCAAAATCATTTAAAAAATACAATAATATTAAATTGAAAAATGATATCTATGTTCAAGCCCGTAAGCTGAAGTGAAATATTACGCATTAAAATCTTAGATAGCTTATAGGTTAGTTGTTGTGTTATATTAAAATTGGTTGAGGGAAAAGGATACTACTAATATGTATTTGTTTTATGAGGGTTTTCTTCTTTTAATGAGTAGTTAGAATACCTATATAACCACAGTTTGGGTGAAAGTAGCGCAATAATATTCTTCGGAAAGAATGTACCATCATAATTTAAATATTAAGGAGCATTATTTTCAAGGATTTCTTTAATATTTTTGACTGAAAATCTTCACCACGTTATTAATAGAAATGATCGAACTAGGCTTACCTCGACTCTTTCTTCTTTCAGATCGACTCTGAGGGCGAGCTGCTCTCGTAGGACGACGTCCGGATAATGTGTCTTGTCAAACGTACTCTCCAATTGCTCGAGTTGCTCTTCTGTGAATATCGTTCGGTGACGACGCTTGCGTTTTGGCGGAGGGCCGGCCAGACCTGCTAGCGCGGCTGCAGCATACCCCCCATACAAGCTACCGTAGCTACCAGCGCCGGAGACACCGTTGCCGACTCCACTCACTCCTAAGGAGATTATAAGCAAAATTTTACGATTTTAAATGAGATTTAATTGCCGCTGTAATATAATGTTATGTAAATTTATCATGAAAGTATATTTTCAATAAAATTCAAAACTTTGTTTTTTACCTAAATACACAAGCCAAAAACATTATGATATTTTATAAATCGATGTCTCCTATGATATTAATGGACGAGTGTCTTAAAACGAGGTGTTTCATAATCATAAAGGTTGTTTTAGTTTATTTCTACGTACACAAATAAATGGGGTACAATAAATGATAACTTAAAATTTTCATTTTTTAATATTAATTCTGTTTAATTAGTACAGTTAAAATTGTTGAAAAATACGTAGTTTAAGTTGCTGACTTTTAGCACCAGTCCTTTAGTACCTACTGTATTTTAGGCAGTGTTCACACCTATAAGCTTATCGCGAAGATGAACACACGAACTCAAACAAACTGCCATAACTCAAAACCCCGTTAGTTTATTAGTGTCCTTTCATGTCCAAAGAAGCTTAAATTTACCTAAATTATTTTTTAAATTATAGATCGTATGGCAAGATTCACTGTCCGAAAAGAGTAGGTAGGATAAATAAGTGCGATATATACATTATTATTATACTATTTTTATGTTTAATCGTCCGAGAATAGAAATACTGTCGATTTTATCGAAAAGACAAAATGTGTATTCATTTCTACGACTCACGAAAAGGTATCACCTATCACTAACGTAGTAATTTATTAGTGTCTTAACGCTAAAAAAAGTATGAAATATAGAATCAACTGTTATAAGAAATAGGACGGCCAATATAATTGTTTACAATAAAAATTATCACAAAATATTAATTGATCATTAGGCGATCACATCAAGATGTCGCTTTAGATGCATGCATATATATTGTAAATAAAAGACATCTTACAAAAAGTGTTTTACTAAGTAATGAGATCAATCGATAATTAGGTTCTAAAATAACATTTAAGCGTAAAGGAACAAAAATGCTTCCTCCAAATAAGATAGCAAAAACAAGAGAATATGCAAGGAAATCGTATGATAAAGATCGAAGAAATTATGGAACCTTCGTTTTTAAAATATCCCGAATAGTATATTTTTATATGGCTCCTTAGTTAAATCTGTCAAAATGTATCAGTATTAATAACAGTAGAAACAGCCGGCGCGTGAATATCCGAGCTTAAAACCCCATGAGCTCCCTCGGCGCTCTCCACAACCGAACCATTCAAAATATTAACGCTACAAATAAAAATCGAATATTTTTGCATACAGTTTACAAGCAAACCGGGGAGGTATTACGTAATATTATTTCTTCAAGGAATATAAAAGCTTTTAAAGCCCGAGGCGCGATGCTAAGGCGCTACCAACGGCTTTCAACGCGCACTCTGCACTCGTGCGACCGCCGCGCCACTAAGCCCTATCGATTTTGAATTTGAACCGACACATGTTTGTAACTTAGTCACGTTTAGGATTTTTATTTCAATAGCTAGCCTCATTTNGAGGTATTACGTAATATTATTTCTTCAAGGAATATAAAAGCTTTTAAAGCCCGAGGCGCGATGCTAAGGCGCTACCAACGGCTTTCAACGCGCACTCTGCACTCGTGCGACCGCCGCGCCACTAAGCCCTATCGATTTTGAATTTGAACCGACACATGTTTGTAACTTAGTCACGTTTAGGATTTTTATTTCAATAGCTGGCCTCATTTAATTAAAAAAAAATTAAAAAAAGATTGTTTAAATATATTTCAACTTCTAAGTCTAGCTCTGTTTATACAGCGATTATAGTCTAAATTTGACAATTATTTTGATAAAGAAAAATGTTTTGTTCACACATTTTAGGGTGCGATTAAATGTCTTTTGACGATCATAATATGATGGTATTACACTGAAACAAGAGAGCGTTTTGCTCACTTGCCAGTTACTTTCTTAATTCCCTAATACGAAATCCACGGGAAAAGACTATGCTATAATAGTACTTTGGTTATCTTATACCTTTAAACGAGCAATTCTTGTATATATGTATATATAATCTGAATCTCGGAAACGGTTCCAACGATTTTTATAAAATTTATTATATTATTTATTATATATATTTATATATTTATTATATTATATATTATACAGGGGATTTCGGCGATAAATCGATCTAGCTACGATTTATTTTCGGAAAATGTGGTTTTATTCGGGTTTTCAATAATCAACTTTATCGATAAATCAACTTGATGACTCTTCCCGACATCTATTGGCGAATAATACTATTTTTCTTAATTGAGTGCAACTAACCGCTTTAAAGACACAACAAGATGGCGTTATAAAAAAAATGACGAGCAAAGCTCGGTCATCATCTAGTGCTTTATTATTTAATTAAAGTATTTCTTAAGTGTGTTTTAAAACATAAACGTCGGACGGACTAATTTCGATTATTTATATATAAGATAAGACTAATTTAAAAAAGGAGTATAGGAATTGTCGCCTTTTACACAATGTCTGTCTTTGTAGGCAGTTTAAGTTCTCTTTTGATGCTAAATTCAGGAAGATTAAAAACCTTTTTTTTTTATTATTGGTTACCGCTTTTCTCCCGCCAACAGCCGGTGGACCGCGGTCAAATCTGCTCATCGATGTGAATAAAGATCACTTCAATCAGATACAACTGGACTTACTATTGAAATAAATTTATTTTTCATTTCTACTTTAAAATTATGGTAAAAGATTATATTTCTTTTTCGGACATTGTTTCTTCGTTTTTTTAGTTTTGTTTTAAGTTTCTCTAGACTTTAAGGAATATTGTCTCTGCGAAGCTATGACTTAGGTATCACTTATAAAAATTTTCTTCTTAGATAGTATGTACTTTTGTTGAAGTTTGATCTAGTCCTAAATTTTATGACTGGCCGGACATTACACCATCTATAAGACTGATTCAGTATAGGAATTAGTGGAAAGGTTAAATAACTAAGGAAGGATACTACAGATGGATAATGGAAAAATATTAGGATCGACTCTAGGTGTCGAGAATACTGCTATTTTCGGAAAAGGCTCTTTTAGGCATAAACTATGATCATGAATAATCCACAGAATTAAATCACACATTCCCTCATTTACAATTCCCTAGTCATTCCCTAGTCATGTACGTACTGTTAAGAGTACCACAGGTAAACTAAAATGCGTAACTCAAAATTCAGCCTCCCAGGTCTATTTATGAAATAAATAATAAAATTGTTATACTTTTGGGAAAGTATAATGAGGGTACTTATTCCGAGGTTTTTCCCCACAGCGAGATGAAGATGCTGTGGGTGCAAGGGGAAACCAATAGCCCTGCGGCTTATTTGAAAAAATCCACAAGGTATGAGTTAAATACAGGGCTTCAGGGTAATTTAAAAGCGGGACACCAAACACAATATCTTTTCGTCAAATGGATCAAACCCTATTTTAAGATGAAACCTTACCTACTCGTCCGAAAACACAGAACACTTGGTGTGACTTATCTGAATTGGCATAAGACACATTTTGAATGGAGAGGAAAATAAAGTAAAAGATTGAAAAATATATATATCGAGGGGTGAAAGGCTATTTGGTTTAAGAGTTATTTCAGTTAATACGCGAGCCAATTATCTTTATAATTAAAAGTCTGTTTTATTTGGTATTAGTATCAACAATTCGATGTTTTTAATTGAGCTTCAATTATGTTTACCAAATTAAAATAGATGAAGAACCTTTTTTTTGTCATATTATTTTTTCCAAATTTTAAACTTTAAATCGCACCTTTAGAGACCCAACCCAAAAAATACGTTTTTTGGAAAACATCGAATAAAGTTTTCAACCCGAAATGATGTAGAGGAAGAGGACGGAGTGAAAGAGACCGATGCATAAGTTTGTCCCTTCACAAGCTACTTTTGGTAATTTGATTATGAAGAGTCGTTGAAAAGAGTCGTTCTAGGTCAATTTTAGAATTAAAGTCGAAATCCAAAAATTTCGAAATGGGTCTCTATAATACTAAAGGTGCGAAATGACTTTCCTATAAAGTTGCAAAAAATTTAGCTTAAACTAAAAAGGCTTTCACTCGTAATGACTCAATCTGTTCACGTATGTACGTGCGTTCACGTTCGTGAGTTTTGGACGTATGTTCATGTATAATCGCATTGAAAAATATATCCATTGCCGTAAACAAGTTCAGCTCGGCCTCAGGGCGTAAAGTAGATTTTTGTAGGTAATTATACGGTAGGGCGTAGATAATAACGTATAACGACGTACGTACTACGTAAGTCGTACTACGTACGTCGTACTACGTCGTAGACAGAATGATAATTCTGCCTATTTCTGATGCGGAGCAGTAATAGCCGTGAAACAGTAATGTGTTTCGGTTTGAAGGGTGGGACAACCGTTATAACTATACTTGAGACCTTAGAACTTATATCTCAAGGTGGGTGGCGCATTTACGTTGTAGACTATGGGCTCCAGTAACCACATAACACCAGGTGGGCTGTGAGCTCGGCAACCCATCTAAGCAATAAATCATAAAAAAAACGTTATTGTTTGAAGGATAATACAGTCGTTAAACAAAAACGGAGACTTAAACTTAGGTATAAAACTGGATGGCGACATTCACGATGCCTATGGGCTCCGGTACTACCTAACACCTTTTGGACCGTGAACTCGTTTATCCTTCGCATTAGAATAAAAAAGGTACTAAAGCCCAAAAAAACTGCAACGCGACGGGGGCAACCTAAGACTTGATTTGATGAAAGTGATTTCACTTTCTTCACAATAAATAATTATAAAAGCTATCCATCAAATCGTTACCTACAATTGTAATATATTTGCTGATTTGTTTGTCTAATGAATTATATAATAATTATAACGCATCATTATACGCTTTTGTTTTTAACGTAATTAACGTAAATTTCATGACGAACTACACTTATTTAAGCAACTGAAATCTTCTCTTACTATATTTATAATTTTCGTTAGATTATAAATCTTCTTGAGTATCTTTAAATAAATATCACACACTACATGTACCTAGTACATATTTTCTTAAAGGTACGTAAAATGTATACAATATTTTATACGACTTTCGGGTGCCTGCTGAAATACGTAGCCTATTATGTATAGCCGTATCATCATTAGATGCGCTGTAAGTGTGTATGCATTCGAAGGCACTAAAAAATCTTTAAATTACTTTAAGTTTTAAATTTTAGCATAAATAATCTATATCAATTCTAAAAAGCTCACCCGTTAGCGCTAACAGTTTGGCGGACGTACCAAAGAAATCATGTGCTCTGTGAAAAGGCGAATGTGCCAAATGATGCAGTTGTAAAGGTGGAATAGTTGGCTGTGGACGTGGTGCCAGTATGCTATCAATGGTGAAGAGTGGAGCCGGTGGGCGCTCTGGCATCGCACCGCCCAGCAGCAGCGCCGTGCTGAGCAGCGCGGGGGCCTCGCGCGACCACCCGCCGCCCGCGCCGCCCATGCCGCTGTCGCTTCCCTGGGCGCCCCGCGATGTCGCCACTCTGACCGCTTGGCAGCCCTCACCGCGATATCAAACACCAAACACACATTATCACATATTCTCTTTTCTATTCATCATCAAGATTCACTATGTCTTTACGCACACTACTTTAACAAAAAACTTGAATGTTTATTTGGCAATTATTTTTTTAGCCTGTAAAAATGAGTTAAAACTCAGAGCTGTGAGATATTAAGAGATAACAAGATACAAGATGCGATTGCGAGCAAATCGTTTTAGTGAGTAGTGGTGTTGGCGGCGGCCGCGTCGCGTGTGTGGGGTGTCGGAGGGCGTGTGATGGGGCGTGGCCCTAACGCTCCGCCTCTCGTAGAGCTTAATGGATGTGACAATGTGACGCTCCCGATCGGTTCATAATATAATAGTAATCTCTGTATCCCCCCTCTGTCAGTAATCTGCTATATTTAAACCGACTCATGTTATGTGCGCTGACGCCTAATTGAACACTGCAAATTATTACATATTAAGTGGATACTGTTTAACTCTATTAAACATTACACTCTAATTAATTAATTAAACATCAAACAAGACAGAAAACAATCAGACTGTGTACGTTAAATGTACTTTTTTATATAATCTGTAACAAAATGTTAGGCGTAGTATTAAAAAACATATCCACCCATAGTCTTAGAAATTCAAACCATTTAGGACGAATCTAATGACTAAAAATGTAAAAAATCCATGAAAGTATTTGGGCTATAGAACTTGCCTAAAAGCTAGACTCAAATACACGAATACCATACATTTTAGGTTTAGACTTTTTACGCTTTCCGGACAACACGATCCAATTTGATATAGATAACTACTGTGTGTATCAAGTAGTGACCTACTAAATCCATAAATTTGATTGAATTGAATTGAATTGATTGACTGAATCAAAAGTTCGAATTTAAAAAAAAATGTAAATACATTTAGTATTTTAATTAGCACTTTATCTTTAGCGTATTAACCAACGAAAACATCCATTTAATTATATACACCTATTTATCAACTACTCTAATCGCTTAAATGTATTTTTTTTTTTAAATCAGCATATGTTATAATGTATATTTAAGATATAAATTTTACTTTGTCTTTAATAGCTAATTTGGTATCAAGCTATACCTAGTGGTATGATAGTTATTCATGTTAGTCTTACTACCTTGGTCGGTTTTCCCGTCATAGTTTCTTTGTAATAAAAAAAAGTTAAACTCCATTCGTGAAACACGTAAAGTATTCAAAACAATATTATGTCGATGTGAAAAAAACTCACCTATACGACCTTTTTCAAAGGAGCTAAAGTTTGTACGTGTACCTAGAGATTTCAGTATCACTTCGCGATATATATACATAGCTCTTTGTGATAGTCACATGATACAGGGAGGATTAACGAGATCTTATCTAACAGCGAACAAATTGAACTACGGCTTGTTTTGTCAAATCTTGCGCCCGCGGCATTAAGCGACGCGTTTGCCCTTTTAAAGCTTTCAACAATCGTCTAACAATGAACAAAGCCCTCACACGAACTAATACAGACGTCGTCATTGAACAAATCCTACCAAAAAACATACATAATACGTAGGCATACCTGTTTTTTACGAATATGAGGTATTCTATAAGGATTTATAAGAGACATTTTAGGACAACAATCGTACTAAGCATTTTGCTCGATTTTATTTTAAAGCTACCTCGTTCTCTCTGTAATTCATTCGCATTAAGCAAATATTTATGTGAGTAAACACTGATACGATTCGTGCGCTACCTATAATTAATTAGCGTTAATGATAATTTGTCACATAAAAAAAATCATCAAAAGAGTCGTACGCATCAGCACTCGCCTGTCTGTTGAAATAATAAAAGTACCAGTTTTGATGAGTATAAATTAAAAAAAATTGTAAGGCACAGAGTTTATTTATATATTAATACATGAAAGAAAAACTTTGTATCCCTTTTTACGAAAATTGCGCGGACGGAGGAGTATGACATTTGCCACACTTATAGAGAATATAGAGAAGGAGTGCACAATGCTAATATTTTTTAAATTATGCCTAAAAATACATTAAATCAATAAAAAAAACATTACACACACTACCATTTATTTGACGCACACACGCATGCATAGGTACTATTTATTTATTGTCAAACTTTTGTTCTTGACGTCTGTGGTCAAATTGAGAATAGATTAAATATTGTTTGTCTTTATTAATATTTTTCTATAGTGTAGTCTTGGCAAAATTTGTGATTATAGAAGTATAATAGTCTTTGAAAATAGAATCATTCGACTACTGCGGGACCACTAGTTAAGATAAATCTTAATAAGCTAAACCTATTCATGTCCAATAGAACTGACGTAAAGAAGAAGACGGAAACGTTCGTCCACGGGGAGAGTGTAAATATTGACAAAGGTGGGCGAAACGGAACCCGAGCCGCGTACTGTTTGCCTGTAATTGATGTAATTAGTCGTGTCGGGCAGCTGCTCGGATAAAACCTCCGATCCAATGTTTGAACAGTTAATATGATACTTTCACGGGCCGGAAACAACTTTATGGTGTTCTGTTCCCGCAAATATTGGTCACTCGAGGAAGCGTGACACTAAATCCTTACTTCTCTACGGTATCTTTGCTTTCGTTTTAATAATTCCCGGAGAAATCCAAGGCAAAAGTTGAAAAGTCATTCGTTTAGGACTTGTGTGGAATGTTTTTTCGTCGACCAAGCGGCCAATATCCTGTTCAGGTGCAGCCTGTTCAGTAACTCAGTAACTGTTATATACTAATACATTTTTTTACTTGGTCATCGTTCGCCATAATTTTAACACAAAAATTTAAGCCTGTATTGAGAAAGTAAGAAGTATCAAAAACCTAATTTTGAGTCTTTTTTTGGTTATTATTATTGTTAGTATTATAAAGTTGAGGCATTGGAGAAGTAAAGTCTTATTATCTTCCAAAAATATAACCATTGAATGAATGCGGAATGAATTACGGTATGCAGTGGCTTGGCTCTGCTCCTGGCATTGCTGAAGTCAATGGGCGACGGTAACCATTCACCATCAGGTGGGCCGTATGCTCGTCTGCCTACAAGGGCACTAAATAAAAAATACCTTTATAAAGTACCCATTCACTAATCAATACTGGTCAATCCCACTTTCCCACCGCTAAGGAACGTTGATTATGAACATTTATCTACTGAATGTAGCTTGTGTATAAAATCTTACAGATTTCACTCAATTTTATAAACCAACATTAACCATAAAATATATTCGTTTAAATCTGTATATACATATTATTATTTAGTGCCATATGAGAAAATGTCACGAACACATTTCGCCGCAACAATAAGCAGCTGCACCCCTGGTACAAGCTAAAGGAAAATTAACTCTGTATAATGCTGCGATTATCCGCGTATGACTTAATACAGGACGTTCGCACAAAGGGCATAAGCATTAAAATAGCTAACAATAGTCCGGGATTATCCGGGCCTAACCTACTGAGCGCCAACAATATGTTGTTTCAACCACGCTCATATTGTACATTAGTAGTAGATATGCGGGTAAGCGAAATCATATGGTCCACATACATACTATAGCTTTAGTATCTGCCACACACATGTTACTACATAATATGTGCTATGTATTATATCTTTCATCAGCAATAAAGACAGCTATATGGTTTTAATGTATTCAATGTCGAGTCCATTTTTCTAATTTATTCCTTAAGTTGAATATACAACAAAATATGCATTACATTACGAAAATTGAAATGTCTTGCAAAAAATTTCTCAGGATGTTTTTGCAAATCTGTTATTATATTGCAACAATATACGTGTATGTTATAATAACATTACGGTAAGCACCGCACTAACAAGATTGTGTAATGTAGGGCTAGGCTCCTTAGCGACTAATCCGGGTAAGTACGACGCCCTGGTTCAGTAAGAGCATTAGTGTTTGTATTTCAGTGAAACTAGAACTCGTATTGATTACATTTTTTCTTTTCTTACAATCAGTATGGATGAACATACGACGTCACGGTGCAGTTGGGATTAAGCCGATAACAGAGTCCGTAGGTACCATAAAGTAAATGCTGACGCCTATCTTTGGAAGAATTCACAAACCTATATCACAATAAACGCATATTTCAATAGTTATCAACGAAGGCATTCGGCATCCCGTTTCGTAGGATATATTTCAAAGACAATTTTAATTCTTCAAAGACATTACATTAATGATCGATTCGCAAGGGAAAGTTTTTGAGAAGGCCACAGCAGCCTTGAAACATATCGATCTTATGAAAGCAAACCTTTAGAAAAGAGTTCAACAGACCGTGTCGATCGTGAACTTTACTAGTTCACCTACTTTTACATGTCGTTTTATTTCAGTAGTTAGATTACAGATGTTTCGTGTGCAGTTTGATAAAATAAAGGAAATGTGTGCAAAATTTGTACAGCAATAAAGCAATCATTAAAGAAATATAATCTTCAATAACACAAAATATTGTATTTTCAGAAGTTTTGAATAAAATCCTTACTGGCATAAATCACATGGAGCTCATGATTTTATTAATCAAATATATGTACACATTTCTAGAATGCAGAATTTAATATCGATCAACGAAGAGAATTAATATTACCTACGTCTAAACTAGACTAAGACCGTAACTTCGACGTTAGACATGTCCAAAAAGATTCATTATGGAACCCATGTATCCCGATTATAATTTGTTACCTAACAATAAGATAATATTTTCTCCAAAATGCGATAAATTCTAGGAGCGATTGAAATCAAACGAAATGCTCGAATACATTTTATTGTACATTAACCAGTAAAGATCCCGGACGTTAACCAAACAAGGGCATGGATTAAACGTGTTTAGNCGTTAGACATGTCCAAAAAGATTCATTATGGAACCCATGTATCCCGATTATAATTTGTTACCTAACAATAAGATAATATTTTCTCCAAAATGCGATAAATTCTAGGAGCGATTGAAATCAAACGAAATGCTCGAATACATTTTATTGTACATTAACCAGTAAAGATCCCGGACGTTAACCAAACAAGGGCATGGATTAAACGTGTTTAGTCATTTGGAAGAATTGTTTAACGCTATCCAAATATGGGTGTTTATACACGAAAGGAGCCACTAAGCAGATAATTTTTGATGAATTCGAGTTTATAAACCGTCAATCAAGTGTGTGATAATGTGAATGAAGTCTCTATTCGTAGTAACTCACAATGCCTACCTTGAAAATACGTTAATCCGTCGAAAATTTGGGTTTTACACATTCGCTCGACCGTGACTCTTAGGACCTCGAAATTTACATTGAGGCGTAAGTGGAGACGGTTAATATTAAAATAACAATGACTTCTAATACAAAACTTAATTCATCACAAAATATAAATGTTGTCGCCTATTCAGAATTACTTTTAATATAATTATGTTTACATGTAATGGAAAGAGCCTATGTAATTATTTCTATGGATGCGAACTATTTAATTTCACGACTTTTATTTTTATTCTTTACAAAATTGTAGTAAATTAAATTTACTTCAGAAAGTACTTACGAAAGAAATAATACAACTACTACGTTTGCTGATTTCTTCTACATTAATCAAGTTACCAAAAAGCGACATATCTCTTTGTTATCAAAACTTACGTTAAGCCTAGATAACAGATAGTCAAATTAGAAGAAAATAAATTTTAATACTCTATTCAACTACCGGACGGAACAAATCAAATGTTTTTTGAATGTCCATGAACTAATGCAGCGGGACGCTTGCGGAATAATTTCTCCACCGCCTCAGACTGTACTGAGAGCTTGACAACCTGCTAATATAAATAGGCAATCAACCTATCAGAGGTCAGTTACAACCGGACTTCCTATCGTTCATTACAAGTGGAAGTCAATAAGTTGTCAACATGAGGGCACTCATAGCTATAGGAGTGTTATGTTTGGTTGCTTTATGTGCCGGTGACGAGTCCAAGGATCAGTCCGTGGCGGCCAGTGGTCACCACCATGAGCATGGTGGTGGTCATGATCACCATGCGCATCACCATCACGACCATGGTGGTAAGGGCGGTAAAGGTCACAAAGGACATCACCATCACCACAAGGGCGATCACGGACACCATGGCAAGCATCATCATGAAGAACATCACCACGAACACGGAGGCGGGCACAAGAAACATTGGGATGAACATGACGACCATGGTGAACACCACGAGCATGGACATCACCACAAAGGTGGCAAGCACGGCCATCACGAACACCACGACAAAGGTGAACACACTGACGGCTACCACAAGAAGTACCACAAGGATCATTTCCACAAGGATCATCACTTCCATGACGGCCACCACGATGAAGGCAAGCACCACAAGCACGGACATCACCACAAACATCACGAAGACCACGGCGGCCACCACAAGAAGGGCGGTCATCATCACTCCGGCCACCATGACGATCATTACGGCAAAGGCGGACATCACGACAAGCACCATTACGATGAAGGACACCATGAGCACAAGGGTCACCATGGACATGAAGGGCATCATCATCATCATGGCGGTCATGGCAAGAAGGGAGGTCATGATGACCATAAAGACTGGGGATTCCACCATGGCAAACACTAAAAATCTTTACCACATCTTAGAGCTCAATAGTTTCTGCGAATTTGTGTTGAGAATGAATGTTATTGTTATTGTTGTTGTTAATTTTTTTATACAAAGTAAATAATTTTCTACAATATTTTTATGTTTAAATACAAAACACTCCTTAGTTGAAAAAATTCTATTCCATCTTATATATCTTTGCATATTTTCTTATACAACATTAATGACATGGTGAAAAACAATTTATCAAAATGTAATTACATAATTATCTTGCCTTTACGGATCACTTGTCCAACTTTATTATAGATAAGGAGTTTTTTCTTTAAAACTTCCTATTTAACTTCCAACTTGCTGGTACTTGCGTGAGTATGTCTAACATACTTATATCTTACTATCTTATGTGTATTATCTATGGTANTCTTATACAACATTAATGACATGGTGAAAAACAATTTATCAAAATGTAATTACATAATTATCTTGCCTTTACGGATCACTTGTCCAACTTTATTATAGATAAGGAGTTTTTTCTTTAAAACTTCCTATTTAACTTCCAACTTGCTGGTACTTGCGTGAGTATGTCTAACATACTTATATCTTACTATCTTATGTGTATTCTCTATGGTATTCACCACAATTAAGGCGCAATAGGTTGATCACACAAAACGCAGCATATTTCGTATGCATATCTGCCTAAATTTAGATAGGTAGTGATAGGGATAGGGAAAATATGATTGCATGGGATTTGGATAGGGATTGGGATTGGGATAGGGATTTGACCTGAAAATTTTCTGGGCGGACAGTCAGCTCCTGAATTTGTGTACCCACCTAAACCAAGAGGGTAGTCGGTGGTCAGGCTTAACCAATAAATTGCTCACTAGCTTAAAAACATGTTTCTTTGATTAAAATCGAGAGGTAATGTAAGGACGGATAGGTTTTGCAGCAAATAATCATGCATACCAGTTCTAAGGTGATATCTTGAGGGTCTATGGGGTTCCGGTAATCACTTAACATCAGATCGATCGTGAATACGCTCACATATCTATGTATTATATTAAAAAAGTATGCGATTGGGGGAATCTGTTACTTATTATGATTCTCTACCTCATAGCAAATGCTATTTAGCTATTTAGCTTACCAAAAATACCTTATCGACATTTGCTTCCCAGTATTTAATATCTCCTTATCATATATTTAAATGAATATATAAAGAAAATAAACACCTACACAGAAAACAAACAAACCCATCCCCCCCCCCCAATGAGAGATAAAGAGAGCGAGAGTATTCTTTATGGTACACCAAAAAAAAAACAATGCGAAACATTAAATCCAAAAAAGTACAATTGGCGGTACAACCGCTAAGAGCGATCTCTTCCAGACAACCACCAGGTGGACAAGAATCATTTGGAAACGAATTACACGCAGTGTACCAATCCAGTAAAACATATAGAGTAACGGTGTACATACATGTAAATGATGTACCTAAATATTTATATCTATAGCCTGGAAACAACCTTTAGCGTTATGAATATTAATATTACCATATAATAACAGTAATCGATTAATTAAACTAGATTTAATAAAGCTTTTGAACGTTTAAAAAAATAATTCTTGATTGATTAAATATTACAATTAATAGCAAGTATATCTGTCAAATATACATAATATAAGTATAAAAGATACTGTTAAATTATTACCACAAATTTTCAGAGAATTCTAAATAATAACATCGGGTATATATTATATTTTTATTCTATTAATCAGATGATATACGATGAGATGTAAGTACGGCTCCGGTCGTGAGCTTCTACTAACATTAAGATTCCTACTCAGAATCTCGATCTTGAATAAGTGGCGGGATCTATTGTGAACCGGAAAGAGTAGGTACCACTATCGAGCCCATTTCTGCCATGAAGCAAGCATGCGTTGTAGCTGTTCCAATACAATCGGATACTTCGGCCGGATGTTTCACGGTGGGTGCCGACGTTGTTGTGCTCACGCTGTTGTATTCTCCTCTTAAGAGGCGATCTTTTCTAACCCTATGTAGCCATGAAAATACGCTAGTAGCTATTATTTCAATCGCTGAGTTTTGGACCGCATGTCTTTTTTACTGTCACTGGTGCATGACCTGTGGACTGAGAGATTAGATTAATTTGCATAAGATTATAATTTATATTTCGACAACAGCCAGGTCATAATATTGAAACCGAAACGGGTGACTGCATCATAGCAGAAGTAGATAGGACGGTTGTATTGACCTGTACGGATTCATTGCGCCCTACCACCAGTAATTACGCAAGTGCCTAAAGTCGGGCAGCGGCGTGCACGTTATAGTATCTGCGCTCCGGTAACAACTTAAAAGGAAACACGGGCTGCGTTTACGCTAGTATTGTCCTGTTTCCTTCCTGGATAAGAACACTGTGTATATTAAAAAAAGATATCTAAAAAATCTAGATTACCACTATCTCCTTTTTTTCATAGGTTGTTAGACTTTGTAAAAAAACTAAATTGAATAAAAATACTTTTATAAGTGCCTAAAGCAAAATAACAGCAAAGCAACCATAAAAAATCCTATGACATTATTTAAAAAATCAAGTTTAAGTTAAGTCTTTTCATTTCTACAGGATAAAATAGAATTACGAAATGTCGATTTTTAACTAAATATTCACAGTCCGAGCTGCGGTTGTCTCTTCCACACTCTGTACTCGTATACTTGAAAGGTAATTTTTGAGAGAATACACAGACTAATTTTATTTTTATAAATCTAATCTTCAAAAATTTCGGCTTCTCTTTTAGATATCCGAAACCTGTGTACCTACTAAACGATGATATTAAAATCGACATAAACACCAACTTAATTACATTTTACTAATATTATGCTAATCCTTATAAATCTATTAACAGTACTAGGTACCTTATGATCTTAATTTATTCACTTTTTCAATTGATTCGACGATGAAAAGTTCGCCCATTTAAAATTGTTATTTCCTATATAGTGAACTATGATTAAAGAATCAATTAATGAATATATCTACATGCGTATTTACATCTAAAATGTCGTAATCATCACAAACAATAACTAGGCGTAACGCGTAGCGAGCACGGCGCTCGTGGCGTCCTTGCCCGATGGTTTCACCAACTGCAACCAGCTATTTTAATGATATAAAATGGTCTCTCTGACAGCAGTGAGTCAGTTCAACAGAGGTGTTCAATTATTCAACTAGCAGGTTCAACCTACAAACAAACATGAGGACGCTAGCCGCCCTAGCCCTTTTAGGGTGTTTTTTAGTAATTTGTTCTGGTCGTGAGATTGAAAGAAAAGAAACTGATCTCGTTGCCGCCGCAAGTCATCATAAAGGCCATCACCACGAGGAGGGAGGCGGTAAGGAGCATCACGCCCATCATCATCATGAACACGGTGAGAAGGGTCATAAGGGACACAAAGGACATCATCACCATCACAAAGGAGACCATGGTGATCACCATAAACATCATCATGAAGGACATCATCACGAGCATGGAGGTGGCCATAAGAAACATTGGGATGAGCATGACCATCATGGCAAACATCATGAACATGGGCATCATCACAAAGGAGGTAAACATCATCACAAAAAACATCACGACAAAGGAGAAGAAACTGAAGGCTACCATAAAAAATACCATAAAGACGAGTACCATAAAGATCATCACTTCTACGATGACCACCACAAAGAAGGCAAACATCACAAACACGGACATCACCATGGGCACCACGACAAACATGGCGGACACCATAAGAAGGGCGGTCATCATCACTCCGGTCACGATGAGCATCATCATGGTCATAAAGGACATCACGATAAGCATCATTACGATGAGGATCATAAGGGACATAAAGGTCATCACGGACATGAAGAACATCACCACGATCACCACGAGCACGGAAAGAAGGGTGGCCATGAAGATCACAAGCACTGGGGATTCCATCATGGCAAGCACTGATAACATTATAATTAAGATATTTGGATACTATGTTATGTTGTATGTTTTCTGTAAATAAATAAATCTTTATTTTACCGTTTTCATACGTTTTATTTTATCTTGCATTTATATTAAGTAAAAGCATATTTCATTTTACGAAAACAATTTTTATATTAGTTGTCACAAAGAAATAATTAAATTCGAGCTCTGAAGTTACAATTATTTGCCAAAGAAAACATCTGTGACGGAACTAATTTGGTTTGACCATAGTATGAACCGATGTCGAAACAACTACTGTCGCAGAATCACTCGCCCAGAAATCTGCAGTAACGATTGCTAAAGATTACTTTGTAATCGACTGTAGATGAAAGCGTTCTTTATCTATAAATTCGAAGTGCGGTAGCATTTGAGACACTCTGATCGAAGCTGTTTCAGCTCACGTTACAGATCCAGAGCCAAACCAAGTAAGTCGCCATCGAATAAAAACATAAAATTTATATTTTGCTGTTTATATTTGATTAAGATCATCAGTAAAATAAAACTATTCTGGTTTTTTTTTCTTTCAGTGATGAGGCTCTTATTATTGATATCATGTGTGCTGATTGCAATCCATGCCCGCAATGTTGCTGAGTCTAAAGGTGAAAAGTCCGAATTGGCTGCAGAGGCTGGTGTAGATCTATCAGCAGCGGGTAGTGAACCATCATCCGCAGATCAGGCTCTAGCTGGAACCGAGCACAAAAAAGCAAAGGACAGTCATCACGAACAAGGAGGTGGTCACGAGCACCACGCTAAGCATCACGAAGAACACGGAGAAAAAGGTGACAAGGGTTACAAGTCTCACCATCATCACGACAAAGGCGATCATGGACATCATGAAAAACATCACCACGAAGGCCACCATGACGAACATGGAGGGCACAAAAAGAAACATCACGACGAACATGACCACCACGGCGAACATCATGAAGCAGCGCATGGACACAAAGGAGGAAAATTCGGTCACAAAAAGGGACATAAGAAAGGTTCTAAAACGACCGGTTTCCACCACAAATCACACAAAGATGAATACCATAAGGAACACAAGTTCTATGACGACTTTCACAAAGGCGGCCATCACCACAAACATGGAGATTTCCACGGCCATCACGACAAGAAAGGAGGACATCACAAAAAGGGCGGACATCACGAAAAGGGACATCACGAAAAACATCATGGCAAAAAAGGACATCACGACAAAGGGCATTACGACGAGGACCACAAAGGTCACAAAGGGCACCACGGTCACGAGGAGCACCACGCCCACCACCACGACCACGGCAAGAAAGCAGGCCATGCAGGCGGCAAAGAATTCGGATATAGCCACGGAAAGAAATCATAAACTTAATTTATTGTTATTCTTGTTATTTGTTACTTCTTGTTGTTGTTGCTTGTATAAATCAGTCACTAATAGTAGGTGTTTACCTAAGTTAGTAGGATATTTGAACTATCATAAAACTTCAATAATGTTTTCAAAATTTTTGTAGTTTTAAAAGCTATATATACAAAAAGTCTCTTTTTTATTTTTTACTAAACAATGTTACAGTTTCCTTACCTTTCGTATGTTTGCGAACCTATACTTAAAATATAGAACAGCATGCATTTTAAGTTTACATCTTCCTTTAAAAACTATTAAATAAAAGAAATCAAATCTCAAACTTTAGCTAATTGAACTTGCATTCTGGATCCTATTTTAACCATTTTTCTCTAAACCCTTTTTTCTATACTTCAAAATAGTTTTCTTGCTATAACTTGAATAGCTAATTAAATCTGATATTCAAAAATATTTTATGGAGAAAATGCCCATAATTTCCACGCAGGGTAGGCGTGCTGAAGAGTGTTCACAGAGACACAGTGCTTTTTTTTTTGCAAGATATGAAGGTGGAAACCCGAAGACCGCGCTCAGTGATGTGGATTGTAAAAGTCCTATGTCCAGTAGTGGACGTATGGACTGATGAAGACTATAATTCAAAAAATCAAGTGTTAATTTTTTTTATTACCTGGATAGGTGACTGAGTTGATGGCCCAACAGGTGTTAAATGGTTACCGGAACCCATAGATAGACTAAACGTGAAAATCGCCACCCACCTTGAAACTGAAGCGGTAAGAAGGTTGGAAGATTGGAAGATCTGCCACCGAGCGGGTGATATTGCTCGGTAGACCGACGGTCCGAATGTTGTTCTTCGCAACTTGTATATACGCAAACTTAACTTGAAAATGTCGTAAGCGAAATTCAGGCATCTGTCAAATATCTTGTGTTCTGTGATGGCTACCGCCACAAAACTTTAAGGTCTATGTCTCAACTGTATAATTACAAAAATTAGATTTCGCGGGTTTGATTTTTATTGCAAGATGTTATTCCTTCATCCCAGACATTCGTAAACGACAGGTAAGCACGTATTTCGTTAAAAATTTTCGTACGCGCCATCGCTTGATACAAGTTCACCAGAACACTTGCTTTAGACGCCTTTAGCTCTAAGTCAACACTAGGAGTAGGGACCCCGGTAACCGTACTGTCGGTAACCGTGCAACCTGCTTACTGGTGGTGGGACCTCTTGTGAGTCCGCGCGGGTAGGTACCACCGCCCTGCCTATTTCTGCCGTGACGCAGTAATGCGTATAAAAATTACCTAAACATCAGCCCACTGAGTTTCTCGCCGGATCTTCTCAGCGAGTCGCGATTCCGATCCGGTAGTAGATTCATTCGCGAAGCAGCTTCCCTTGAGTTTTTAGGTTCTCCTTTGGAGGCGCTCGGGCAGCTGTTAGCAAATCCCACCCCTCCTGCCTGAACCTCTGCTCTCCCACCTGTCCTGGTGAAACTGGCGAGGCCTCCGAGCCATTAGAAATCTCTCATTCGTAAAAAAAACAAGTACACCAGACAACTTTTCGACTATCGTTTTTCTTTTAAATATTAAATCCTATTTAGTTATTATTAGAAGTGTACTCCTTACAGGTATAAATCGTGTAAGAATTTATAATTTTTTATATTTGTCGCATTCATGAGTCATGAGTAAATCAGTCCACAGCCAACCTGGTGTTACATTTAACACTAGGCAAATTGTGATCTGTAGACTTGTGATTTCTACATATTATTATTATTGTCGTAATAGATGTGATGTATTAAACACTGATATTGGAGTTCCAAGACATCAAAACATGAATACTACCCAACTTGAATTAACATTTTTTTTTACATTTCATCCTCATTAATATATACCTACTGGCAGACTTAATGCCTAAACCACACTTACCATTCAAGCAATTATCCATACTGTATTATCCATATACAATAATGCAGTAAGAATAATAAGGCATTGCTAACAAATTAAAGCAAAAATCTATGTCATACAATGTATTTTGTTTTTTTTTTCGTACCTATTCTAGTAGCCGCGAGGGGTTATTCTAAATTCTCCGAACTAGTAGGTGAGTTCACGGAGCTCAAACCTGACGACGTTGCTAACACGAACCCTAGCAAGAGTCGTGCTTCGCAGAATCTACCACCGGATCGGAAACGCGACCCACTAAGAAGGTCCGGCGAGAAACTCAGTGGGCTGTGTCTGTGGGTTAATTTAGTCGCCGAGCCCTTCGTCGCAAGCGACGGTTTCGACGAGAACGATGACCGGTGCTTGAGGTACCTAAAAGCACCATTAGTGGATCGGGAGTATCCGAAATGACGTGTTTTGGGCGACATGAAGTCGTCGTGGCCTAACGGCTAAGACGTCCGGTGCATTCGTGTTGAGCGATGCACCGGTGTTCGAAACACAGGCGGGTACCAATTTTTCTAATGAAATACGTACTCAACAAATGTTCACGATTGATTTCCACGGTGAAGGAATAACATCGTGTAATAAAAATGAAACCCGCAAAATTATAATTTGCGTAATTACTGGTGGTAGGACCTCTTGTAAGTCCGCACGGGTAGGTACCACCACCCTGCCTATTTCTGCCGTGAAGCAGTAATGCGTTTCGGNCGCAATTTTCGGGTAAATAGGGATTACACCTATTTTTGCATTTTTTGCTTAAACTGGAATGCTAGTTGCATAATTTTAAATTAGACAACAAAGATGCCCCTAAGACTCAATCATTTTGATCCTTATATAGCATTATATACATCAACAACTACCTTAAAATTGCTCATAAAGTTGGAATTTGTCCCTAATCGCCCCATTTCACGGAACCTAAAAGCACCATTAGTGGATCAGGAGTATCCGAAATGACGTGTTTTGGGCGACATGAAGTCGTCGTGGCCTAACGGATAAGACGTCCGGTGCATTCGTGTTGAGCGATGCACCGGTGTTCGAATCCCGCAGGCGGGTACCAATTTTTCTAATGAAATACGTACTCAACAAATGTTCACGATTGATTTCCACGGTGAAGGAATAACATCCGTGTAATAAAAATGAAACCCGCAAAATTATAATTTGCGTAATTACTGGTGGTAGGACCTCTTGTAAGTCCGCACGGGTAGGTACCACCACCCTGCCTATTTCTGCCGTGAAGCAGTAATGCGTTTCGGTTTGAAGGGTGGGGCAGCCGTTGTAATTATAATTGAGACCTTAGAACTTATATCTCAAGGTGGGTGGCGCATTTACGTTGTAGATGTCTATGGGCTCCAGTAACCACTTAACACCAGGTGGGCTGTGAGCTCGTCCACTCATCTAAGCAATAAAAAAAGAAAAAAGACATCGACTGTTTACCATTTGGTCCGCAGTATCGGCTATGTAGTTCCTGGCGGCAACGACGAGAGGATTCTCGTGTCGTACCACTTCATCAAAGTGGTATGTTCATTAAAGAGCATATAAATACATAAAATAACCTTATCTTTTTTTAATTATGAGGATTTAAATCAAACAAAAGTATTTTTTTATATATTTATTTGACCCTACAGTAGTGAACATGCTTGGTATCTTATAAAAGAGCCATCAATGGGGCTAGATGATCAAACTCAATCTTCTCTGTAATATTCTTGGTTTTAATATTTTCATCTTGATTAGCAATGAAGATAAGACTACCGTCATCCCTCCATCCATACTTCTTAACCCAGTGCTTCAATGTTACATCTTAAAATGAAAAAAAAAACTTCCTGAATAACACATTATAGAACTTAATTAAATATTACTAACTCAATGCTATATTTGAATCTATATCACATAACACAAAAAACATGCTTACCATCAATACCTCCTAACAGATTTGCCAGGTTGTTTTTGTCAATAGTCTGAAATGTGATACCAACCACATGACAGACAAACTTTCTGATTGAGTCATGGAAGCCACTGATACGACTGCACAGCTCTGGCATTTGGTGTACTCTATTCCAAAACTGAGCAAAGTCACATTGCTCCAGAATGTCGGCTAAGTATTTGATTTGAGAAATTGTCTCATTTTCCACCTAGAAATAAATTTTAGACGATGACAATGTTAGTTTCCCTTTCTTAAAGTTTTATAATGTAACATTTTTACTTGTCTTGATTATGAAAAAAATTGGTTTATTACATAATTTCCTTGTGTTTAGTGCAATTTGAGTGCTAATTCCTTTTAATCGAAAAGTAAAACATGGGGAGATCCTCATGTTTTCTATAAAGAAATTATTATTTTCATTTCATATTTACTCTAGTCCAGTATTTATCCTGGCACTCCCTTTAATGTGGTATCAGATCCAGACCAGTACCAGATACTGGAAATTTGCCCAATATCTATTACATCTTTTTGTTAATTTTATGAAAATTGAAACTTATTTTAAAAATTACACGGAAATCAGTGGCAGGAATATCAAAATGAATCGGTACTGTAAGCCTGAACTGTATTGAAAAAATCTAAGATGTAATGGAAGTTACCCTGTGTACTGTAAACGAGTCACATCTCAATGGACTGAACCTTTGCTCGCCCACCTGTCCTGGTGACACTGGAAAGGCCTCCGGGCCACCAGTAATCCTTCAATCATAAAAAAAAATCTCAATGGACCTTTACCGAACATGAGTAAAAGAGATGGCGCGATATTCTCAATTCTTCTTCAGCTACAGTCTTCTTCATTCTAATAATTATTTATTTATACGTTAGTATTAAAAACATCATACTTACCACGGATTCAAGAAGTAAGCACTTGCACAATGTAAAATCGGTATGCGGGAAATTAGTAAGAGCTTTCAAAAGTATCTGACATGTAATGTCTGCGTTAAACTTTTCGGGATTAAATTGATATAGCTTGAGCACAGCTAAATTAGCTCCCAAATCGTATGTGTTTTCTCGGGACTGCATTTCGACATATCGTTCTAGTATTTCCAGATTAGCTGGATTGTACCTAAAAACAAAACAATGTGTCACAAACTGAAATACACCGAAA